GCGCTGCGCTGCGCTGCGGTGCGGACCGGCCGCCCGGCCGGCCGGCGGCGCCGGATCAGCAGCCCCCGCGGGCTGGGAGGCACCGGGGATGATTTCATCCCCGTGATGCTGCGAGGAGAGCCGCCCCCCGCCTCCCTCCGGCCGCCGCCCGGGTAGCGAGCCCCAGCCCGAGCTCCCCAGTTCCGGTCACGTTGCCGTGTGTTTACGCCGTAGCGCCGGGGTGGGCTGGAGCCGGAGCCGGAGCCGGAGCCGGAGCCGGAGCCGGGGCCCTGCAGCCAGAGGCCTGCGGCTCGGCGCTCCCTGCCCCCCGCCGGCGCTGCCATGGAGGCTGCAAGTTTGGAGGCGGCTGGGAAAGGTGCCCTCTAGCCCCGCACGCCAGGCTGGGAGCCGGATCTAGGCAAGACGCAGGAGAGGAGGCTGTGGGGGGGTTCTCTGCCCCCCACCCCAATCCGGATCCGTGTCTGGGGGGAGCGGGGGCCCTGGCTGTGCTGAGCCCCCCCACACACCGGCTTTGCCCTTGTCCTGTGCCAATGCAACACCTCCGTTGATGACACCCAGCAGCTGCCAGCAAGTTCCTCCTCTTTTCCCCCAGGTAAGAGAAACCCGGCCTGTTGTATGCGGGGAAGGGGGGATTCTGGGCAGGAAGCTTTGCCCTGGGGGCACCAGCAGCCTGCAAACTCCTGGGGGCTGAGTGGGACAGAGGGCTGGGGACAGCTGCGGGACGGGGATGGTCAGGACACAGGACGGGGTGACTTTGCCTGATGTGGGCCTCTCCCACCCTGGTGGAAGAGACCGTGCATGTGTGTGTGTCCTGCCAGGTGTCCGCAGAGGTTGGTGGCTTCAATCCAGGTCGGGGGAGAAGGATTCCCAACTAAAATCCCGTTGGTTCATATCCTGGCCAGTGCCACTGGCAACAACTTCCTTGAGGATCATAACAACAATCATAAACACCCCAATCCCTGCACCCATGTTTCACTGAGACTGGCAGGAAGAATGGGGGAGGGGGAAGAGGGGTCTATCCCATGAGCCTGGGATGTTGTGCCCAGCTGACCTGAGGTTATTAAAGGCTATAAACTAAATCAAAGCCTCTGAAAACTACCCGTACTATGGGCTTCCTCCCACCCCAAATTCGAGTAGCCCATTGTTCCTGTCTGTCTATTGAACAGATTGGTTTAAAGTACTTACAAGCTGTAATTCTGTATTGGAAGAATGACAAGAGCTGGCACAGAGCAGCTGCTTGCATCCAGGGTCAGCAGTTGTTGTAGCCTCCTCCCTAAGGGGAAATGCAGAAGGCAGGGCAGAGTTGCACCTTAGAGCCGGACCCATCCAGAGATGCATATGCTGCAGTAAGATTTCTGTCCTATGTGCTGGGGAAGGGGTCTCGCCTATACACAGGGGGAACTTTTCCTGTGCTGGAAGCCCTCCTTGCTGTTCTAGAAGATCCCTCACCCCAGGCAAAGAAGCTGGCACCTGTTCTTCCTCCCTGGAGCTACTGATGCAGATGTAAATTGAGTCAAAATTGCAGTGAAGCCCACTCCCTATTTCCACCAGTAATTACAGAGTTAAGTGTGTTACAAGGGGGGCTGCTGGAGTCAGTGAGAGTTCTGCCACAGAAAGCCCCCAAAAGCTAGCAGCATAAATTGAACAGGATGCAGGACCGAGCCATAAGGATCCTACACATATCATTATGATTTGTGCACAGTTGACTGTGGGCCAAATTCTGCTCCCAGCAACAGTGATACCAGAGTAACTCCACTGAGGCCAGCAACAGCAATTTGGGCCTCACATTCAACCTAATGGATTAAAAGCAAAAGCATTAGCGTTTGGCTGTCACTCAACTGGGCATGTTTAAAAAATGTATAGGAAACATGGTTATAAATTTGTTTGCACTGATCTCAGTAGATGATGAGACCAGCCAGCATGGATTTGAGTGAACTCCTGGTCCCTTTGGAATCAATGAAGATTTTGCTGTTGACTTTACCAGGGCCAAGGTTTCAACTCTGCTTTCTGTTCCTGTCTTTGCCACTGGTTCTGTGACCTTGGGCAAGTTCCTTAATCTCTTTGTGCCTTAGTTTCCCCCGATATGTAAAACAGACAGAATGTATCACATCAGTGTTGTGAGGGTTCATCAGTTTAATATATGCTTGGAAATCTACAAGTGGAAAATATTCCTTGGTGTATCTGTGTTTATGCCAGCAGTTCTTTCTATATCATGCTAGGGAATTGCAGTGGGAGAAATCAGTGACCTGGTATTGCAAACCTAATTACTGGAGTAGTTCCCCTGGCTACTAGCTTGTAAGCCTGGCTTTTACAAGAAAACTTTATATATGAATAGTGATGGATTGAGTTTTACGTTCTTGTTCCCATGGATGCACAGACAAGTGCCAAGGCATGTATCATACACGTGATTTTGAAATGTGTAATCAGACACTGGAGTGTTCCCTTTTTTTTAGGCCAAGATTCTGGTTTTCATATTAGCACGTTATACATATGTGTGTGTGTGTGTGTGTGCGCGCGCGCGCATGGTTTTCATATTAGCATGCTATACATATGTGTGTGTGTGTGTGTGTGCGCGCGTGCACGTGTATATACTCACATACACACACACCTCTCGGGGCAATGCTACCCTGGAAGTAAATTCTTCGACAAGCTGATTGTGCAATGAAAAGCATTCACCTGTTAATTAAAATCTGACTTGATTATTTCATCTGCTTCTGAAACACTGGTTAAATTACATTACTTATCAAAATAAGTGAAACTAAATGGAGTGATTTAGGTCTTTCAGATGCTGCTGTATTCAGTTATAAGTGAGACTAGGCCCCTATTGTGCTTGTTGCTCCATGTTAATATAGTAAGACAGTCCCAACCCCAAGAGAGATAAAGGAGAGACAGGAGTTATGGTTACCTCCATTTTACAGACGGGGGAGCGAGGCACAGAGAGATTAAATGATGGCCCAGGGGCACCCAAGGAGTCTATGGTAGCATAGACAATGTGTAGGGGAAGCACATGGGGGCACGTGCCCCCCTTGAGATTGGCCGCTACAAAAGCTGCCACCAGCTTCTGTGGATGGTCACTGCCTGCCACCCACCACCCTCCCCGCTGCCACCATCAGTGGCTGCGGGTGGTCCCTGCTCACCAACGATGACACCGATGTTGGCAGGTGTGGGCATTCCCCACTCATCGACACCAACGCCGGTGGTCCCCGCTCACCACTATGGTGCCCCCCCCAGTATCAGGAGGCACCAGTTGTTAATGAATGGTAGGGCAGGGTTTACAGATCTCCAACATCTCTGTAGAGGGCTGTAATACAAGGCCAAGACACCCCTTGCTTCTATTACAATGGTTTGATTCTTAGTGCAGGTAGAACCTGCAAGACTGAAGTCCTTTGCTTATCAAAGGAACGTGCCCAGGAGGAGCTCCCTGGGCAGGCAACCAGGTCAGGGAGGTGAGTAGCACACTTCCTCCACGTGCCTCTTGGCCTCTCAGAATGGCCCTCAGCGCTGTCGAGGAAGGATCCGCTCCAAACCAAGATCAGTGCTCATCCTGCATGCCCAGCAAATCCCTCTGCTGAGCCTGCCAACAGGAACAGTCATTAGTGCCAGCCGAGACACCTTTCTGCTCAGAGCTTTGAAAATGGCAAAGTGCTTCCTATTCATATCTGTATTAATTACTGGTAATGCGGATACTACACGCCACATTCACACTGACGCTGTTCCTTTGTACCTACCCCGGAAGCACAGGGGGGCTCTAGATTGGGAGTGAATTACATTCATTCAGAACCCCTTTGAAGCTGCCAGATAGAAACAAAGGGCCTTAGATTAATGACAAAGTGGCTTTACTTGTCCAGTGGAACCTGGATGGAGATCAAAGTCATTTTGCTTAGGCCATGCTATAGCAAATGCATTTAACTGTTGCCCAGATGAGCTAAGTATGGATCACAATCCAATTTGAAGTGGGAGGTTCCACCTCTTGCTACCACGCCTCTCCACTCCTCAGAGCAGGTTCACACAGTGGTTCCAGATTTCTGTTCTTCCCTTACAGTACAATCAATATACGCTGAGACCCACATTCCTCTTTCTGTGTATACAGAAGACACGACAGTGACCTTTCACTTCATCTATTATTTACCTGGTAAGAAGCTTGCATTTCAAAGCTGACTTTACAACAGAACCTGTTCTCAAAGATAAAAAAAGTGCAGCCCCCTCTAACGATCAATTAAAGTATGAAATCTTTGGACCAAAATGTTTAAGCCAAGGGGCCTGAGGTTGGTGTTTTTGCACCTAAGTGCACAGTTTTATTGTCAGGAGGGTTGTGCATGCACACACACACATGCACACATGTGCACATACACGCATACACATACGCACATTCTAGTATGAACTACTTGAGCTCAGCACCCCCAAAACTACAGCATATATTTTGTACTTTATCAGTTAAGCCTACCTCCATGTTATAGAAGAAGGCTTCAAAATATTTTTTAAAGATAATTAGGCACCCAAATACCTTTAAAGTCTAGCCCTAAGTGCCTTGCCCAAAGTCAACCAGGGGAGATGCTAGGGAATGAATCACAGGTCTCACACCCTACATGGACCCCCTAGGAAGACTGCTTTCAACAGTATCTCAGTAACTTAGGAGTTCAAGTTTAATTGGAAGTCAGTGGAACTTAGGAACGCAGCTGCCTGAGTCATTTGTAGAAATGGGACGTGGGTGTCTCAGTTAGATGTATTTTGAAATGATACCTGAGACCAGCATCCCAGAATCCATGATAGCAGAAGGGTTTTCCCTCAGTGTTTAAATGTCTTCTGAAAGTTTGAAGCACCATCCTGAGATGAGAAGGACTGTAAAGTGTTACAAAAAGGAAAGGGCACAAGAGTCCATGTATGCAACGGGCCATTTTTTAATTTGTTGATGAGTAAAACCTCTGTTGTAAGGCCCTGATCTTGAGACTATTGAAGTCTATGCAAAATTCCCACTGAGTTCAGTTATATGGGTTCAGGTACCAGGTAGAATGGACACCTTGGACTTTGTCAATACAGAATGAAGAGACAGAGACTGTTCAAGCTCCTTAAGAATAGCCAGCATTGACCACAGGCATCATTTAAGCTTTCAAATTGGGGGTGAATTTCACGAATGAGGAACTGTTTAGCTGACAACAGAGGGATGGAAATTCACTTTCTCCTAAAACAAAACAACACAGTACAATATGTTTCCAGAAACCCATTTCCACATTCCCTATCTGAGAGTGCAGATATTTCAGGGTAATATATTACTTGAAAAATGTATCATATGACCTTGGCTTCTACTCAGATAGCAAGATGGAGAATTTCATAGGAGTCTGAAGGGGTGAGGCACCCAAATTCTCTTCACTTTCTATGGGATTTGAGGACCAGATTTTCAGCAGGGCATTCATATTTAACAATGCAGGTCAGCACTTTGGAAAACCCCGAGGTGCCTAGGCAGCTCCCACTGGTTTCTAAAGGAAATGGACAATTAATCTGTTTAGGCATATCTGAAACTCTCACTATGAATCTATATGACTCTTGAGATCCTGAAATACTTTAGGATTTCTTAAGGTGATATCTTTTATTGGA